CGTCCCCCACCGTCTGCCGCCGGCCGGAAATCGCCTCCGCCGGAGGCGATCATCCAAATGACCCCACTTTCACACCCTAGAACCCCCTTGACCTCCCCGTTCCAAATCCCTGAACCTTAGCCCTCAAATCCCAGCCAGTGTTCTCGAATCTTCAATCGAAGAATTAGCCAAAACCCTAGTTCGTCCGACGGCCCTCAAATTAACACCCTAGCCTCGCCTTCACTTTCTCATTCCAAATATCCAAACACTCTCCTTCGAATATGCCTAGAATTCGTCGAATGTTGAATTTTGAGCCAAGAACCCTAGCGCCGCCACAAGATCCCCTGGTGGCGGCGCAGTCCCAAACAACCCCAAAACCATACCCTTGAACCCTTATCACCCCTTCTCCATCGATCTATGCTTAATTGTTTCCAAAAGCCCCAATTGTTTCGAAGCTTTAGACTTAGGGTTTACTGCCGAGGCTGGTTGGTTTCTCGGGGTCAATCAGTGTTCGAGGGGTTTTGAAATCGTGTTATGTGTTTGTTCTTGGTAAGAACAAACATATAATACTATTTGAAGACCAACTTAGAGAGTAGGCGAGTTCCGTAGTCTCAAAAAATCAGTAAGTTCTTTTTTTTTTCTCTTTCTTGGTCTGGTTTTCTTCTTATTCTTTGCATAATAATTTTGTTCAGAGTTCGTAGGGTTCTAATTGACTTTATTCCAATTAAGTCTCCCTTGTTTCATTTTAATTTTGTTCTGTTTTTGATTTTTGTTGGTATGATCCAGTGTTTGTTTTCGATTAGATGATCCATGAATGTTTTTTTTTAGTCTCAATTCTGTTTGGTTGTTGTTAAGTATTTTCTTATCACCGGATTAGCTAGTTTTGACTTGTTCTTTTGGAAACATAAAGAAGGATAATCAGATCCTTAGTTCAATGTTAGAATTGTTTGGATATAGCTGTTCAATCTAGCAGGCTTTTTGTTTAACCATAGTTAGTCTTGACCAAGGTAATAGGGCCAGGTTTAATGTGATATAGGCCAGTAATTACAGTACAATTAAAGGGTAATTTAGGCATAGAAAAGGGTAGTTTTATTAGGAATAGTAATTTTAAAAGTAGGGAAAGGGTAGTATAGGAATTGTAATGGGTGTAGGACTTTCTAGAATAGACTTTAGTATAGTTTTCAATAAAATAGGTGTTGTTACTTGGGTAACAAGTTAAAAATAAGGGACTAAAAGCTGAAAATGGGTAGGGACTAAAAAGAAAACTAAAAATCTGAAGGTAGCCCTAGGCTTTGCCTATAAAAGGCACACCCATTGCCTTCTTCAACAAGTTAGAAGGACCTCTGAAAATTTCAAAAAAAAAAAAAGTCGGAAAATTCCCCAAAAATCCTCTGCAAGTTTACATTCTCTAAAAAACAACAGAAAAATCAAAAAAAAAATACTGCTCTATGGAAATTTCCTTGGTGTTTTCTGATTGTTGAAACTTTGGACGTATTCTAAGTTTAATTGCAAGTCTATTTGAGTTCAAACAAGTCTATTTGATTATTTTGTGGGTACTACTCTACTGTCGTTCAGTTCTGGGTGTTGTGGTGCTATTTCGTTTTAAAAATTGGCTCCATTTGCTGTTGATATAAGCTGCTGCTTGTCACTGCTGATCACCTCTTCTCCTATCTTGTTTCATTATCCAGGTACACACTTGGATCTACCTTGATGTAGCCTTCAAGTTGGAAATAGAATGAATTTGCTTCCCTGACGTATGCTTGTTGGATCATTTCTGTCAATAGCTAGATAAATGTTGATTGTTGCATGTATTTGTCTAGTGTAGTTTAGTTTTGGTCTGTACTAAGCATAAACAATGGACTATGGACTGATCTGCTTTCATTAAGATTGTTTTCATTGGATGAATTGACTGAGATTTGGACTATAGACCTCTGTTTCATTCATTTCGTCTGTATTCTGTAATTAGGTCATATGCATAAATCGTTAGTTCTACTGTTTTATTTCATGTGTAGTTGATGCTATCAGTTCTAGTGTGGAAGATACAATTGAATATTGGAACAGCTGGTGTAATCCAGTCATAGTACAAATGTTAAAACACATAGGCATGATTTAAATCTGGAAACGGCATACATGCTTATAACGACGAGCAGTCAATTACATCCAGTAGTATAAAGGCATAGTCATTTCCAGTGATCCATCTCCAAGTTTAATTCATAAATAAAAACAAAAACTTCTGAACGTGTATTGAATGAAATTATTTGGTTACTGAATATCTCAGAATAAATGAGTTTGTAGTCATCAGTATACACCTGAACTTAAGTCAACATGTTTTCATTTGAGTAAATATGAAACTATGCATTTGTTCACAAATTGACTAGTCTAGTCATGACTTGGGTTCAAAGACTTAATCTAATATTGGACTGGGGATTCCTTCATGGGCCGAACCTGATGGCCTTTGTTTTAATAGAAGCCGGGCCCAAATTTGTTCACGCAAGGCCCACGTTTGGGCAGTTTGGTTTTCAGGAGCATAGCTGAATCTGCTTAGGGCCAGGTTGAGGCCCAATAAAATGCTGAAAGCTTCAAATCGCGAGTCTTGGGCTAATTGTTGAGG